AAGGAGGGTGATTCACGGCTGCAGCTTCTTCACCTGTATAAGGGACGTCACGTAAGCCCTGGCGACCTCACAGGGGTCAGTGGCTTCCAGAGTTTACGCGAATGAAAGTGCTTAAGAAAACTGGGTTTTTAACGAACGGGGGGCTCAGAAGCACCAGAAGCAACGCTGTCGGCACACGCGCCCCGGCAGACGTCAGAGCTGGGGTTCCCTCGGGGGAGCAGTGTGCGAGGGCAGAGCCACACCACTCCCCGTCTTTTTAAAGAACGGAGCGTGTGTTAAGGGAAACGGGGCCGATCGCAGTGTTCCGAGCACTTCTGGGAGCTGCCGGCTGCTGGAGAGTAAGTGCCGCCCACGCTCGGCGCAGCCCGGCTCCCACTCAGCCCGCGCTTCACAGCCTGCCCGCCTCTCCACACTCACAGCCACGTGTGCACACGCACATTCACACGACACCGCGCACATGTGTGCACATGCATGTGATTACACATGCATGCACACATGGACGCACACAGGCACACATAGGCACTCGCACACACATAAGCTCACCATGTGATTACACATGCATGCACACATGGACGCACATAGGCACTCGCACACACATAAGCTCATGTGTATACACACATGCACAAAGGCATGCACACAAGGCACGCACATGCACACAAATACGTGCACATCTCACACAGGCATGCACATGTGCAGACACGCACAGAGGCACACATGTGCACATGCACACAGGCACTCATGCATATACAAACACGTGCGCAATGCACACAGGCACTCACATGCACACAAACACACGTGCGCAATGCACACAGGCACTCACATGCACATGAGTACACATGCACGTGCACACAGACACACAGGCACACATGTGCACACAGGCACTCGCACACACATAAGCTCACGTGTACACACACATGCACACAGGCACACATACACACACCCACATGCACACATGCACACGTGCACACGAGTGCACACACCCCCACATGCACGCAGGCACTCACATGCACGCAGGCACTCACGTGCACACAGACACACAGTGCGCGCACACACGCACATGCACACAGGTGCAGACGTGTGCACGCGCATGCACATGCAATCCCACACGCACACAAGCATGTATGCACACACTCGCTCCCTGCCGCTCCCTGCCAGGGGCAGGAAGGGCAATGTTTATTCAGGTGGAAAGAGCAGTGGCCGCTGGCAGAGCCCTGGCCTGGGCCTGGCTTCGGTTTGCTGCCTGGGACGCTCTCCAAAGAGCTCGGAGAGAATTAACCCTCGAAAAGCAGGTTCTTGCCGGGCTGGAGGCCCGGGCGAGTGTCCGTAGCCTCTGCTGGGCTGAAACTACCCTGGGTGCCAGGGGCTGGTTCACCGTACCTCCCTCGCCCTCCAGGCCTGACTCGGCTGCCTCTTCTGCTCCCTGCTGATAAGAATGTGCAACGTCCAGGTGCCAACTTAGAAAGCGGCAGAGCCAGGATAGGAAACGTGTTCACGTTGTTTTTCTCACTGTTAAAGTGAGGGCTCTCGCCCTGGCTACTTCACGATGGCAGCATCAGGGGGGCTGGGGACAGCGTCAGGAGGGCTGGGGGCAGCGCTGTGTCCATCCCAGGTACTCCGGCTGCCGACAGTCCCCCCAGCCCGGTGCGGGCTCCGGGTCAGGCTCTGTCTGAGCAGCGGCCCCTCCCCAGGCCTGCCGTGTGGCACAGCACAGAAGCATCTGCGTGGGTTTCCAGGACGACAGTGTCCATCTGTGGCTGCTCTCAATCCCTCTTTCTCATAGGACAGTGCCGGGCTCAGTTCAGGAGTCGTGCCTGAGCTGACTGCCAGGGAGTGGCAGACGCTGGGACCTGGGCCACATGTCTCCAGGGGGGCCCTGAGGCAGGTGGCGGCTGGTGAATCACAGTTGTTAGGGACACTGAGTGTTCGTGACTGCCAGCAGGAGGATTTGGAGTCAGCCCACATGTTAGCAGAATTTGCCGGAATTAGGACGTGGTTGGGGTCACAGGGAAGAAGGGAGGTGAGACACGGACCCTCCGCTGGCAGCTGGCAGCTCGGCCCGGGTTGCATAACCGTGTGGTCTGGAGCGGGGCCGGGGCACGAAGCAAGCAAAGGGCCGGGAACAAAACCACACAGAGCCGCTCGCGGACACCAGCGTTTCGAGCCTCCCAGGACCCTTCTGCAGGGCAAGGTCCACGACGGTGGCCACCAAGTGCAGCGACCAGGCGGCGGGCAGTGGCCGCCTGTGCCGAGGACCGAGGGCTTCTGTCAGCGACGGTTCAGCGGGTCCCTGTGCTCTGCAGCCGAGCGGGGTCACGGCGCCTTCTGTGACGGGACCAACGGGCGCTGCCACTGTTCCGGGACGCCGCCCCGTGTCCCACGAGCGGAGGCAGCCGGCACGGGGGGTGCGCGGAGGGGCGCGGGAGCCTAGGCTGATGGGAGAGAGGAAGCCTGTGCCTCTGCTGGTCCCCACCGGCTCTTCTGCCAGCTCTGTCACCATGTGTGCCCACACAGCGGGGCCACCTGAGAAGTGAGGGGACAGGGACGAGGACCGAGATGCACCAAGAAGGCCTTGCACGTAGGAGAGGCCGGCGTGGGCACGCAGACAGAAGCCGCTCTACTGGGTAAGCACGTTCTTCTGCTCGTCAAAAATGATGGCTTTTTTATCTTTGTGCTACATATGGGGTCGTATCCTGTCTTTAGCTGGGTGGATCTTGGCCAGTTCCCCCCACCCCAGGGGACCTGTGCCCCGTCTGCAGACATCTGGTTGTCACTGCCTTCGGCGGGGGCAGGACGGGTGAGCAGTGAGACCACCGCACCCAGTGTGGGAAGGCCGCCGAGTCCTAGGCACGCAGCCTGCAGGAGGCCTGTGTCCGCCGGGCTGAGGCCGGTGCCGGCCAGGGGTTCTGAGCGCGGGCTCGGCCTGTTCCCTGCACTCCGGGGGAGCCCCGCGGCTCGGCTCCTCGCGGGCGTGGACGCGGTCCTGCCGGTTCTCGGACGCCCCGGCTCCGGCCCACGTCCGTGTCGGCGCAGTGCTGCGGTGCCACTTTGAGCGCAGACGCATCCTGTTTCGGGCCTGCGGTGGCGCGTCTGTGGACCAGCGGACGCGAATGGGGCCGCAGCCCGCCTGCCGGCCGCCCCGCAAGACTCGGGTCCAGTGACGGTCAGCTGCAGCCTCAGCCTCACGCATCAACACGGCGGGTGGGAACTTCCCGGGGGGAGGCGGGGTAGAAACAGGACAGTGGGGGGGGGCTCCGTCTGGCGCCGGCATGGGGGGCGTCTGGTCGCGCTCCGTGCGTGGCAGCCGTTCCCAGCGAGGCCTCTGGCTGAACCACACGGACACCCGACTCCACGGCCCCTCCCCCGCCCCAAATTCCTTCCTCCCTTAGGTGTTTTTGATTCTTCTGATGAACGTGTGTTTCCCGCCGGCCGTGGGCCCGGCCCTGTGCGGGTGTTGGAGGCACAAGGGAGCAGATGGGGCCACTGCCGTCCCGCCTGCCGCGGCTGCCCCCGCGCCGGACAGGCACCCGCCCAGCAGCTTCCTGGGGCTGAGTGACGCCCCCAAGATGGCCTCATCCTGCCTCTCACTGTGACTGTGACCTTGTGTGGCAAACAGGACACTGCGGATGCGACTTAATGAGGGATCTTGAGAAGATGACTCTGCATTATCCGGGTGGGCCCAGTGTCCCCACAAGGATCCTTAGGATGGTGACAGGGTCTGAGCC